TCGAATAAAATTGCTTAAATCAGATTTCAAAAAAAATTATAAAAATGGAATTTTAAGAATTTTTTTAAAAAATTTGTTCTACTTAAATCAAATTTTGAAAATTTTTCTTACAATTACACTACCGTTGGAAATTGTGCGATATCTACTTTTTTCGATTACTATAAAACGATTTAAATCTTCAAAAATATTAAAACTAAAATTTTTTCCTTTTTATTTTCTAAAAGCTAATAAAATTCTGAAAGAAATGACACATTGACAAAGAGAATATATTAATTTTTGTATTAAATATCTATGATAAATCCAATTTTCAATATTTTTTACGTTTTTTTATTTCTCTGGCAAAAATTAATATTTTTAAACGTTCTTGGGCTCATTGGAATGGTATTTTTTTTTATACAATTCAAATTATTTAAAATAATTCATGTCCACATTCTTCCCTAGAGTATATGCAAATCGTGAAAGTTGGCTCAAAAAAAGTCAAAAAATTATGATTAATATTTAAATGACAAAAAATGACTTGTAAAATTTGTAAATCTTAAATTTACTTACATAAATCAGAGAAGTTTAAGATGATCTAATTACTTGATTTTTAAATAATACTTTTTGTTGTAGAATTGAATTTTTATTTTTTAACTTTTTTTGAGCCAACTTTCACGGTTTGCATACGCTAGGGAAGAATGTGGACATGAATTGTTTTAAATAATTTGAATTGTATAACAAAATACCATTCCAATGAGCAAAAGAACGTTTAAAAATATTAATTTTTGCCAGAGAAATAAAAAAAAAGTAAAAATATTGAAAATTGTGTCTAAGTTGATAAATTTACATTTCCAATCATATTGGATCCGCCATTTTGAATTTTTTAAAACTGTCCCGAGTAACAAGTTTAAGGCAAATTCGATCAATTTTTGATTTTGTCATCCGACATTTTGAATTTTCAAAAACTGGCATCGGATTCGAAATCCCCGAGTAATCAGTTTCGAGCGGATTTGATCAATTTAAAAAAAATTTTCCACCATATTGGATCCGCCATATTGAATTTTGAAAATTTGAAAAATCTGACTTCAGATTCGTAATCAGCGACCCTTAAAATCCCCCCTATCGTGCACTGGAGCGATAAATTTCTGTTAATGAAAAATGTATGCTTCAAAGGGTTAATGCAAAATATTGATTATTATATAACCAATTAAATTTTGTTAAAATAAAAAAAATCGCCTTTTTCAATTTTTTTTTTGAAATATAAATCAACTAAAATGACTTTTTTTTGTGCCTTAAAGTCGATCCGAAGCCTGTAAATATTTATCGTAAATTTACCTGATCCATTTAAACATTAATTCAAAAAAAAATGTTAAAATTGCTGCACCACATCCCAAAATCATTATTCCCATTAGAAACGATGTAACTTTGATATTTTCATTTTCTTCTGTTGTATCTTTATTTCCAATATCTCTATTAAGAATACGATTATCACGTACATTCCATTTGTTCACAAATCCAGTTATTGTTAAACGTGAATAAATTGTTTGAAATTTTTCAATATACGGCGAATTTGGTTCCAAATAAAATGCATTTGCCGACGATAATAAATAATCGTTAAGATATTTTAATCGTTTTTCTCTATTGACAACTTGTGTTTCCCAATTGGCTTGTGTTAATTTTACAATGCATGCAACATTTTTTGTTTGTAGCAAAATATCAACACAATTTTTATAATTTACAAATCGACTTTCATTTAACCACATTCCTAAATTTTCTTGTTTAACAATATTCTTGAAGAATGGCTTAACATTTGCCGTAGAACTTAATTTTAAATTACTTTTCATTAAATCGCTTAAATTATTAATTTGTATTTCTTTATTCAATTGAAATTGCATATCAGTTAATGAGGCAAATATATCCGACGATAAACAAAATGCAAGAAGCATAAAAAACATGAGGCAATATCTTTCTTTTTTTCTTTTGGGTTCATTTTCAAGTGCCATGCCAAAAAATATTTGAATAATTGCCGTTCTATTCCAAGTGGTATCATCAAATTTCCAAAAATATTCAATAATCCAACTCAATACTATACTCACTATTACCAATAGAATTGAATAAAAAAATGAATTACCAATTGAAAATGAATACGATGTTTTTTTAAGCAGTGGAACAATAACTATATAGTGATCCATTTCAAATTCCATGTATTCAAATTGATCAACGGGACACATTGATCTTGATGATATCGATCTACTGGCAATTAATTGAATTTTATTGTCAAGTAATTCATATAAAAGTCCCGTTGTTTTTGATTTTTTACAACCAAACAGGCCAAAACTTTTTACATTTGATTGAATTGGTTTTATTTTAAAATTTAATTGCTCTGAAAATGCTTTAATTACCGATGCATCTGGTCCAGTTATGTCAATTGTTGTTGAATTTTTTTTTAATTTCAAAAAAGGTGGTAAATCAAAAACACCCACTTTCAATGGATATTCCATTAAATTTTTCAATTTATCGGGAAATAATTTTGTTTTTGTGGAAAATTTTCTCATTTTATACACCGAGACAAATGGATTAAATTGATGTATCATGGCATTACCTTGAAAAACATCTAAAATTGTAATATCGAGAAATAAATTTTTCCACATTTTTTTAAAAAACAATTCATAATTTTCTTCAAATTCTTTATCATTTGAAAAATTAATTATTAAACATTTTGGTCGAATAGTGAATTCCGACATATTTTGAATAAATTCCATTAGTTTTTCAATTTTTGAATAATTTCTCTGTTCATTTTTTATTGTTGAAATTATTGAAAATAACGTTATTCGTGAATATTGTTTAATTTTCATTTGTTGAAATTGTTTTTTTGTTGTTTTTTCAATAAATGAAGAATTCAAATACAAAACAGGGAATTTTGTTTGAAATTCTTTTAACACACAATCATGTGTTTCAATTTCTTTTTCTTCTTTGTTTGTTATTAATAACATTTGATAAATTTTTAAATCATTTTTAATAAATGTTAGCAAGTTTTCTAACCAATTTGATTTGTCAACAATTTTTATTGGTATATCGCCAATTACAAAAGTTGCGATTGTGATGTAAATTATTTGCAATTTGATAATCATTTTTAATATCTCAAAAATTCTGTAAGGAAATTTTAATTATAACAATTTTTTGGAGTTTATTTTAAATTAATCTAATTTTGCAACTAATTCGAAAATTAATTATAATTAATTATTATTTATATTAATTATATATATTTATAATTATAATTATTCATATTTAGAGGATAGTGAAATAAATTAATAAATTTTTTTGTTATTTCATTAATTTTTATCTCAGGAAGAATTTAATATTATTATTCAATTAATTCTATAGAATTTAATTAATATTTAAATTAAACATAAATAAATACTCTCTCTCAAAAAAAAAAAAAAAAAAAAAAAAAAAAAAAAAAAAAAAAAAAAAAAAAAAAAAAAAAAAAAAAAAAAAAAAAATAGAAAATTTCAATGAAAAAAAAAACATGATTCAAATTTTTTTAAATTTTAGAAATAAAAATTACAATTTAATTTTTAATTTATTCTTACAATTAAAATTTGAAGCTCAAATTGTGAAATATTGATGTTTCTTCTGGAGTTGTAGTTTTCTTTTGTTTTCGTCACAAATAAATAATGATGACTAAAGGAAAATTTTCTGCCACACTCTTTTTTTTTACAAATGTTTTATAACAAAAGTCATAAATTTCTTTTTTGAATTTCTAGTTGATACGTTTCAAAAATATAGGCTTTCTACTTTTTTTATGTTGATGTAGCTCACATTAGGCCTTAGCTATAAATTATGGAAAAATTCAATGCTTTTAACTATATTTATTGATTTTACAATTTTTTGCTTGTTATTTTTATTTATAAATATAAATTCAATAAAATTTGTATTTGTATTTGTATTTGTATTTGTATAAAAATCAAAATTAATGATTAATGATTAATTTTCTTTTCAAAACTATTTTTCTATTGTTTTAATTTATTTTTTTTTTATTCTAAATTGTAATGTTAAAAAAAATATATAATCAAATTTCTATTTTTCGCAAGTAAATTTTGTCCAATGAATTAAAAAAAACGTTTAAAAATTTTTCATAAAAAAAATTACTTTTCTCTTAAAATAATATATTTCTTTAGTCACAATTTTTTTTTTTTATAATAAATTATTAAAAAGAAAAATTATTATAAAAACATTAAAATATACTTATTATTATTATTATTATTATTATTATTATTGGAATAGTTTGTAAATGATTCAACATTACAAAAAAAAAAAAGAAGAGAGAGGCAAAGACAGAGTTAGAGATTACGAAATTATACTTTGTATATGAATAAAGAATTAATAGTTACAAGCTTGAAGAATCAACATAATTTTCTAAGGACACAGATATTTTCTTTTGAACGTCATCATTATCATCATCAGTTATTGCAAAAGAATTTTTACTATTTTACAAGACATTAATTTTTAAAAGAAAGTTTTATTAAGATTATGGTTTCTTTTTTCGTTTTAAATGAAGAAAATTAAAAAAATAAATCAACATTTTAATCACTGTAATAATTTATTTTATTTCACATCAATTAAAAATAAAAAAATTCGGCTCAAAAATAATTATATGACAAAATAAAATTCCATAAATTGAAAATTCTAATGATTTTTAGAACATAATCATGCGTCCCGTAAAATAAGAAATAAATTCAAAAAAAGCAAATTAACTTTTTTTTTAATTTCTTTTTATTGACAAATTACAAAATAAAATTTGTAATAAAATCATTAAAATTATAATATACAAATTTTTTCTACATTCTTTGCTATTGTTAGAAATTTTACATAATTTGAACTATTTTTTACAAATTCTACTGTAAATATAAATATTTTTTTTATTTACTAATTAATTTCTTTTTAATTAATAAACAAAAACATAATGTGTAAGTTAATTTTTATACAAATCCCAAAATTAATTAATAATTTATTTAGATTGTATAGTTTACAATTATATAAATTTTAATTTATTTTTTGTTTGACATTTTTTTATATTGAAAATAATTTCTTTTTAAATTAAATAAAATAAAATTATTTTGATGAAAATTTTTGAATGATTATTTTTCATAATTAAATTAATTTTCGTATACTTATTGACAATTATTATTATTATTGATTTACAGCATCATTGTATAATTAACTAAATAATTCATTTATTAAATATTAAAAACCATAATATTACACTGGGCTCGTAAGTTTTTTTGTTTTCATTGAAAATAATTTTAAGACAATTATTATCTTTTTATTACATTGAATTTGAGATCTCCATCCGGCGCATACATAAATGTTACTTTGTACTTCAATGGTTCATGATTGTATTCCAATTTATAGGAGCGTATCAGCTGTAAACAATTTTTTTTCTTTTAATCGAATTGAATTTAGTAATTATTGCCAAGATTACAGAAAAGTTTTAGTTTTTCATCAAATTTCTAAATGTGTTAACGAAAAAGAAAATTTTGAATTTGTTTATAAAAAATAACGATATTTTATAAATAAATAATTTTTTTTTTAATTTGGGCACGATATTTTTTTACATACATGAAAATAATAAGAAAATTTTGTAATTAGTTTTGAAGTGGGCCTGATAATCCTTTTTGTTTATATAATTTGTTTTAAAAAAAAAATGTTTGCTTTTCTTCGTTTTTCTTTTATTTTTTTAAATAAATAGTTTTTTTTGGCGACCTTTCACTTAATTCATAGAAAACCAAATTAAAATACATTTTATATTGGAAAATAAAAAAAAACGAAAAATCAGCAAAAAGAAATTTTTTTTAACAAATTAAATAAACAAAAAGGATCATCAGGCCCACTACAAATTTTATTACAAAATTTTCTTATTATTTTCATGTGTGTAACAATAAACAAAAATCGTGCCTAAATTAAAAAAAAATTTGAATTTGTTTATAAGAAAATTGTTATTTTTTATAAACAAATTCAATTTTTTTTTTCGTCAACATATTTCAAAAGTCGATGAAAAACTAAAACTTAATAAAATTTTGAAAATACTTTTATAACATTTAATATTTATTTACTTTTCGTGTATAATTTATTATTAAAGAAAATTTATTATTTAAAAATCCCCACGTTTCAATATAAATAATTTTTTTTTTTAATTTAATAAAAGAAAATGTCGTATATATTGTTACCTTGGCGAGGAGAACTTGTATTTCGAGGTCAGCAAATCTTCGACCTAAACACATTCGAGCTCCATGACCGTAAGGAAGTGACGCGAACGAATGTAATTTTTTATGAGATTCCTCTTTAAGCCACCTCGATGGCTTAAAAGACTTTGCATCATCAACGTACTCGTCCATATTTCCTGTCACAAGAGTCGGAAATACAACTTGAACCTATTAAAAAAAAAAAAGAAAGTTATATACTATTAAAAATGACAAAACAACTTTTTAAAATTATAAAAAAAAATTATAAAAAAATAACGAAAATATTTTTTTACATGAATTAATAAAAAAATATAAATATATTATAAAAATTAATTAAAATATAAATAATTAAGAAATAATAAAAGAAAAAAAAACAAAATTTCATTAAAATCCAATAATTAAAAATTTTTTAACAAATTAAATTTTTTACATTAATTTTGAACCCTAGAAGACCTCCAAAAAAGTAATCAAGAAATTCAAAAACAATTAAAATTTTTAATACAATCTTATTAAATTAAATTATTTTTTGTTATAATTTTTACTAACCCCTTTTGGAACTTTGTATCCACAGATAATAGTGTCTTGTTGCATTGTTCTTCCATTACCAATTACTGTTGAGTACATTCTACGAAGATAAAGACAAAAAAATTTTTTTTAAATATTATTTTGTTTTTAAAAAAAATTGATAAAAAATGAAAAAAAATTTTTAACAATTATTTAATGAATATTTAATATTTATATCTAATTATTTTAAATAAATAAATAAATAAATAAAATTAAATCGGAAAATAAATAATAAACGACAATTGAAATATTTATTTAAATTGAGCGCGCTTTTTCTGCTACCTAACCTATTTTCTCATAAGATATTTAGAGCCTTGTCACGTTTAACACTGAATACTTCAGAAAAAATTCTTTTTAATTTATAAAATTTTAATGGTATTAATAAATTATTTTTTCAAATTAGCAAGCGTAATTTCGACAATTTTTAAAATGCGCGCGCAAATGATTTCATGTAAAAAGTTAGGGGATTCACTTTTTTTTTTTTTTTTTTTTTTTTTTTTTTTTTTTTTAGAAATTCCACAATGAAAAACAAAAAGGGGAAAAACAAATTTTTAACTGCGAGTTTAAAAATTCCCTTCTCTGAAAATAATTATTCTGGTCACGCTGAACAGTTGAATAATAATTATTTATTTTTTGTAATAAATAATATTTACATACGTTTTTTTTTATTTTTTGTTTCTTTTATTTTATACAGAAGAATTAAATATTTTTTTATTAAAAATTTTTTAAGAAAATTTTTCATTTTCTATTTTTTAAAAAACTAAAATGTTAGAATTCTAATTAAATTACTTAATTTAATTAAAAGTTTCAATTAAAATTTATTTATTATTTATTTTAAAACAAATTAATTAAAATTAAAATTTTTTAAATTATAATTTAAAAAATTTTTAATTTAAAAAATTTTTTTTTTATTATTTAAAGATTTGAAAATATTGAGTTGAAGTAATTTTTGTTTAATTCTTCCTTAATATTTTCTGTTGAGTGTTATATAAACAAAATACAATTTTTTTTTTTATTTTTTAAATTCTTAAAATGCTATTAAATTGATTGAATAAAATTATAATTTACCTGAATACTTCTCGAATAAATGCTTTCATATAAACAATTTGATCCAAATGTTTCGCTGTAAGTGGCGTCGATGGATCGGGCAATATTTTCACTAATTCTTGATAAATTTTCTCTTGTTCTTCTTGCCTTGTTGCAAGTTGATAAAGAATAGAGCAAACAGCCATAGAAATCTTTTAATTAAAAAAAAAAAACAAAATTTTTATTTTTATATATATATATATTTATATATTTTTTTTGTTTATTTATTTTGTTAAAAATTAAAAAATTTAACTATACCGTATCGATTCCAACTAAAATTAAATCTAGAGCCAGTACATAGGCAATTTTTGGATTTGATTCTTTAGCAAGAATTCTCTCAACTAGAGACAATTCTGATTCATTTACAGATTTTTTTTTCTTTAATCTTTCCATTGCAGCGTCAATATATTTCATACAAACTCTGAAAAAATATATACAAATTAATGTATAATTGAAAAAATTTTCTTTATTTACTGATTAAAATTACATTAAAAAAATTAAATTAAAATATATGCGAAGTTAAATGATTTTTGAAATACATACTCGACAAAATAATCCATATTTCGAACATAACGTGTCCAAAGAGGTGTGGGAATATATCGCCAATAGGGAGCTTTTAATTCCAAAGTAGCGACATTTCTAAGAGCAAATTTTGCACCATTTATAATTTTCTGTGGTTCAGAATCGTGCGTTAAATCTTTACCTAAACATCCAAGTCTCACATCCAAAGCCACTCTTCCAATACCTTTTAAAAAAATTTTATAAATTATGTATTACAATTAAAATAATTATTTAATAAAAATAATAATATCTAATTTATATTATAATTACATATAATAATAAAAATTTTTCATTAAAAGAAAAAAAAGATTATTTTTAAATTTTTTTGTTGGGTTGAATTTAATCAACCCTTTCTAGAAAAAGATAACGTGGAAATAATTTTGTTCAAAAACATACTTGATACGATTTTATGTTAAGAATATATACTCTCAAAGTGTCATCTCACTTTCGAGAAAGTAAAAGTTCCTACACCTAGCGGGAAACGTAAGAAGTATAAAAAAACTCTTAACTTCGAATATTATATATTTAAACAAAGATATACGAATTTAAACTAATATTTACGTATTATTCATTTAAATTTTTTTTAAATTTATTTTTAATTTTAATTTAAAATAATTCAAAATAAATAAAAAATAACAATTCAAAAATTAGTGAAAAAAAGTATTTAATTAAAAAATTTTCTAAATTCGTTTTTTTTTGCAAATAAATTACAAATAACATTGTGAATAATTAATATTAATATTTTTTAGTAATAACAACAATAATGATAATTATTATATTATTTATATATTAAATAATTTAAATAATATTATATAATAATTACATATAAATAAATAAAAATTTACATGTAAGTAAACAAATAAATATAATAATACTTTATTATAAGAAAAAAAAGATTATTTTTGAATTTTTTTGTTGGGTTAAATTTAATCAACCCTTTCTAGAAAAAGATAACGTGGAAATAATTTTGTTCAAAAACATACTTATTACCATTGTATGTTAAGAATATATACTCTCAAAGTGTCATCTCACTTTCGAGAATGTAAAAGTTTCGACACCTAGCGGGAAACGTAAGAAGTATAAAAACTCTTACCTTCGTATATTATTATTATTTATACAAAAAATACAAATTTATACAAATATTTACGTATTTATTTATTAAAAAAAATTTTTTTAAATATTTGTACTTTAATTTATACAAATTAAAAATAAATAAAAAAATTATAATTCAAAAATTAATGAAAAAGATATTTATTTTTAAATTTTTTAAATTATTTTTTTTCAAATCAATTCCAATTATGTAACATTATGAATAGTTGATATTTTAATGATAATAATTATTAAATAATGAATAATATTTATTAATATTTGAATAATAATATTTTAATTATTTTAATCTTTTTTTATTTAATTGGCAATATTTTAATTAAGTTTAATAAAAAATAGGTGAAAAAATTAATGTTTAATTATTTAAATTTTTGTTTTTAAATATATAATTATAAATAAATTAATAAAATAAATTTATATTTTTTTAATTTCTAAATTATAAATATTAATAATAATGATAATATTACTTTCTAATTGAAAAAATAAATTTTTGTAAATTTCTAAGAATTTACTATAGTCAGATTAGATATTATAGTAGTATATAATCGGTATACAAAGAAAGAAATCGGCAGAAAAAGTATAATGATGGGAAAGAAAAGGTGAAAGCTATATAATTTAAAGCCTAATCAACAAGATACAAATAGTTCTAATACTTCCTGACATTGGACCATAGAACCTTTTTTAATGCTATCATTCTGCATCTCTAATATAACACGCATTTCATAATGTAAGCTCATTATATTGAAATTCTTTCATACTTACATTCAAGAGCCCATTTATGAATTTCATTTTCAAAGTCTGCTGGTACCTCATTATTGTCATCTTTTATCTCCTCAATTCTAATGAAAAAAAAAATATCAAATTATTTTTTTTATTCAAATTCGAATTTTTTTTTTTCTTTAAAATAATTTTAATTTGTCCAAATTTGTATTTGTTCGAAAATTCAGTTAAATAAAAACTCTTAAATATAAAAATTTGGTTTTTATTTAAATTTTATACTTTACAAAAATTCTGTTAAAATATAGAAATAATTTTTTAAATTTGTATCAAAATTACCCCAATCTTATTTCTTTTGGGAAAATATTTCTTATTGTATATATGTATATTAGTCATTAATATTAAATTTCAAAAAAAAAATTTCACCTCTCTATAAAATCGCTTGTTACCACTTCAATTGGCGTAATGTATTTTTTAACAGTTTGTGGTTGAAGAATTGGTTTTTGAACTCTCGATCGAAATTCCCTCCATGGCTCGCCATGACTGTAAAACACATTTAGAAAAAAATATTCACAAATATAAAAACAAACTGTAAAATTAAAAATAATAAATAAATAAACAAAAAAAAATAGATAAAAAAGGGACTCATGAATATGTTCTAAAAATCATTAATTAGAATTTTCATTTTATGAAATTTCATTTGTCATAATTATTTTTTAGCCGAATTTTTATTTGTTCGAATTAGTATTTTGCAGAATTGTCATTAAAACGATTTTCTATATTACCAGAATTTTTATATAACCGAAAATTCACTTCACACAAGTTTTATTTGTTCGAATTTTTATTTTTCAGAATTTTTATTTACTCGAATTTTTATTTAACATTAATAGGCATTTTAAAGAATTTTTATTGGGTAGAATTTCATTGCATAGAATTTTCATTTTTATTCTTTCAAATGAATTTTTATTTGTTCAAATTATTATTTAATATAATTTCCATAAAACTTGATTTTTCTGCAGAATTTTTAGTTAACCGAAAAATCATTTAACAGAATTTCTAACTGATAGAATTTTCATTTGTCCGAAATTGCAAATGACCGAATAAACAATCGATTTCGGCGCGATTTTTAAAATCAACTAATCACAATTTTATGGATAATTTTTGATTGGTTGATTTTAAAAATCGCGCCAAAATCGATTACGTTTATTCGGCCATTTTCAATTTCGGACAAATGAAAATTCTATCAATTAGAAATTCTGTTAAATAATTTTTCGGTTAACTAAAAACTCTGCAGAAAAATCAAGTTTTATGGAAATTATATTAAATAATAATTCGAACAAATGAAAATTCATTTGAAAGAATAAAAATGAAAATTCTATGCAATGAAATTCTAACCAATAAAAATTCTTCAAAATGCACTATTATGTTAAATGAAAATTCAAAGAAATAAAAATTCTGTGAAGTGAATTTTCGGTTATATAAATATTCTGTAATATAGAAAATAGTTTTGATGTTAATTCTGCAAAATATTAATTCAAAGAAATAAAAATTCGGCTCAAAAATAATTATGACAATTCTATAAAATTGAAAATTCTAACAAATGATTTTTAAAACATATTCATTGGTACATTCATTGTACAATTTTTCGACCAGTAAATTCTCTTTCATATATTAAATTAATATTATTTTTAAAGAATGATGTAATAATGATTTAAAGTTTTTTTTTAAATTCGTGTTTTTTGTTTAAAAAATTTCTTCTATCTCTGTTAAAAAAAAACTTTTCCTACAGTTTATAAATTTTCACTCGATTAAATACAATTAGAAAATTTTTCACATAATATTTATATATATGTGTATATATATATATATATATGCACTAGGTTCATAAATATCGTGAATGAAGTTGATTATTTAAACTAAGGAGACAAATATTATGAAAATTTACGATTAAAATGTAAATATTAGTCGAGTATAAGTAATTTATTCATTAAAAAGATGTTAAATATCAAGAGGGAACTTTTTCACTCTATGGGAGACAAGTCGTATCTCTTTTGCATAATTTATGCGTCGCGTCATCAAGGCTCTATTTGAGTATAACATACGTGCGAATATGCAACTTTCAAGTGCAACAACTCTATATAAACAAATATATATATATATACATTTGACTTTATAAATTGTTAAATTGATCAATCGAGATATAGTCTTATCTCAAGACAAATTACATCGAAACCAATGCAATATATATAGTGTTATCTCAAACTGGTTCAACTTGACAAACTACTTGAAACATGTTACAATTCAATTTTATACTTTAGTTATATTAATAACTATTATATAATAGTTCTTTTTCACTGTCAACAAGTCATTCGCACTTGTATTACTAATATATATTAATTTTTAATTATTACAATGAGAAAAAAAATTTAAACTCAAATTTTTTTTTTCTTTTAAATTATAATTTTATGTAGGGTCAGTTGGGGTAAATGGGGACAAAATCGCTATTTTTCACAAATTACGGAAGTTTCTTCCTTTAAAATGTAATATTTGCGGATTTATTTTTTTTTAAGTTGTTATTTACGTTCCCAGGATTAATTTTATGCCGCAGAAAAAAATTTAGATAAGCTTTAAACGCATGAAAATGACTGTCCTCATTTACCCCAAAATTTAGAAAATTTCATAAAATTCGGGGTAAATGGGGACAGCATAGTTTTTAAGAAAGTTTTAAGAAAAAAGTTTCTTTAAGTATATATTACTGTATTAAGGGATGAAAAAACTTGAAAAAAATTTGTAGTAGATATATAATAGTTGAACCAATTAAAATTTTTTTATTTATTTTATTTTTAAACACTTTTTAGACACAAAAATGTAACCCATTTTATTTAAACTGTTTTTAAAAGTAAAAACAAATAAGTCGGTTAATAAAAGTTCAGATTTAGATGCAGAGATTTATTATTATTTTATAATTTGCCTAGACTGACAAACAAAAAGAAACTTACTATAGGCAGACGATATTGTCGCTTTGGCTGATTTGTGTGTTTATATTGCTTAACATCGACCTTATCGACAATGCCGTCTGGCAGTGTTGGATCGTGGATCGCGGAGTTATTTTGATTGGCGTTGCGTGATTTTCATTAAAAATTGTATATCTTCGTCAGTTTTGAATAAATCGATCTGAATTTTTCCACAAAACTTCTTCGATATGTGAGGAACAAATGTCTCACTGGAAGTTTTTTCAACGAAAAAGTTCCCCACAGACTTTTTTGTCGGCGAAGATAGGAAAACGAGAGTACAGGTAAGTTATTATTTAAATTAATAAATAATTAAATAATTTACGGTTTTTAACTTTTTCATCATGCTATCGTCTTCTCTAGACCTAAATGCGTGGGTATACCAAATTTGAAGTAAATTCATTAATATTTGTCGAAACTGGAACGATTTGTGTTTAAAAATTCAATAAAATTTGTTGGTTGAAAATATTTAGTTTTTTGCAATTATTGTCAAAACTATTCATTCTACAAAAAAAAGTTAAAGGAAAATAAGATGCGCCGTTTTATTTTCTATAACGTAGTATATTTCAAAAATCAAAATTTTAATTTTTTCAACTTTTTCATTCGTTGACTGGCTTCAGCGCGGCCGGTCCGAGCGTCCGTCTGGTTATTGCATTGGTGTCCTCAATTGTAATTTTTTAATTTTCGTACATTTTTTTAAAATATATTAAATTAAATCTTTACTATTTTAAATTAGTAAAATTTTCTACAAATTTTTAGTCATTTTTCACTAAATGTCATTTTTTTTTACTAATTTTAAAGTATAGTTAATTTGACTAATTTGAAAAGAATTTAATTATTTCAATTTAAAATTTAAATTTTTATCATTTACTCAAATTAGTAATTAGTTTATAAACTTTATTAAAATAAATTGATTTTGTGTAAGTTTATTTATTATTTTTTTTTTAATTTTTGTTCATTTTTTTTTTATTGGATAAATGTGTTTAAAAAAATAAATTTTTTTAAATTAATTTATTGATGAGAAAAATGATTACAGAGGTTATGCAAAAATTGAGAGTTAATTATATATAGTATTTAAATTGGATGTGATCTTGAAAATTATTACTTTAATATACTTACACACCAACGACACCGGGCAATTCGCCGAAAAATTCTTTTCTCACTTTCCCCTTATATTTCACCAAGCATGGCATTGAAGGTCGAAATGGCGTTGGACCTTCTTGTCGATAAATTTTTTCAATTTCATCTGCATCATAAACGAACAGAAGGTCCGGTCGTCCAATTAAACCAGTTAGCCTCACAATTTTACCTTTATTTAAAATGAAAGTCAATATTATTTTCAAATTATCTGCTTTTAAATCGAATTTTCAAAAATAAACTTCAAATGTTTTATTTCAATTTTTATTATGGGTCATCGAATTTTTATTTAACCGAATTTTTATTTTACATTAAATTATTTTTATTACTATTTCTAAATTTTTTTTATTTTTATTATTAATTCTAAATTTATTTTATTTTATTGTATTATTTAAAAATAATTTTTTTATTTAAAAGAATTCTAATTTAACTGAATTTTAATTTGACCGAAATTGCAAAATGTTCGAACAAACATAACCTAAACAAAATTATTTTAGCGCGATTTTTAAATTTCAATCAATCAGAAATTATCAATAAAATAATTGTGATAGGTTGTTTTTTAAAAATCGCGCCGAAATCTTTTTTCTAGGTTATGTTTGTATTCGAACATTTTGCAATTTCGGTCAAATGAAAAATCGTCGTTTTAAGAATTCTATTTTATAAAATAAAAAAAAAAAGAAAAAAAAATAATGGAAATATTATAATATCATAACTTATATTGGACTTTGTGTGTATAAAAAAATAAATATAAATTGAAAAAAATTAAAAAATTAATAAAAAATAAATAAATTAGGTGGATAACAAATTTCTTACCATATTCTTGATAAAAAATTTGAGTTATTCGAGCAGTGTCAGAAATTGTGTACTGGCCAATAACAGGAAACATTCGCCAAGTATTACCCAAAATTGGAATTGGTTTTGGACCGGGAATTTCTTCATAAGGCCTTATGTGAGACACTTCTTGAACATCGTTAACAACTCTAATTGAACTAATTGCTTCACTACTTAGAGTTCTTGCTCTTACGTTATTTATTCTCAATAAAAGTTTTAGCCTAAAAAAGAAACAAATTAACATTTCATTTAATAATATTGTTAAAGTAGTAATTTTTCATTTTTTTTATTATTTCCTCTATTTTTTTCAATAAATAAATTTATTTTTTTTAAATAAATGGAAATTAAAAATAATATTTTCAACTAGAAAAAATCAATGTAAAAATCTAATAAAATAATAGAATTTTTTTTTTATTTAAAACAAAAATTATTAATTTCTTTTACTGACAATAAAAATGTCAAAAATATTTGATTTAAAAATTAAAGATTTTTATTTTATTGACTTTTGTCCCAAGTCAATATGTGACTTAAAAAATTTCTAACTTTTTTTTTTTTGGTTCGCATATATTAATTAGAAATTAAAATTTTATGCATCGATGGCCCATAGATTAAATTTCCTAAACTTTCTAACGATGATCAATATATTTTCATAGATTATTTCGCAAAATTGATTCCTAGAAATGTGTTTCTTATTTTAAAATTAAATTATTTAAATAATTTATTTTTCCTTTTTTTTTATTAATTATAATTTTTTTTGGCTTTGTTTCTGGCTTTAATATTCTTTACTATTTTTTTACTATTTTATTTATCTTTCGAGTATTTTTTAAATAATAATAATAATTATTAGGTATTATTATTATTGTAACAAAATAATAAAAAAAATTATAGTAAAATAATAATAATAATAATAATTTTTATTATTATTATATGACAATTATTAACATAACAATAAAAAAATATATTTTTAATTTTTTAAAATTTAGTTTAAAATATTTTTATCAATTATATTTTTTTACATTTTGAGTAAAATTTCTTTCACACCTTTGTTAATTTTATATTTATTCAACCTATTGAGTATTATTAGTTTTAAACATTTCGCAATAAGTTTCATATATTTTCATTTTCTAATTTGTTATTGTCATTCTATATTTTTCAACTTTCGTTTTTTTCTCTCCATTATCATTTTTCCAATAACTTTCCCTAGCAATGAATTTTACGATTTACACGTTAACATGAAATAGGTATAGTAAAGGAAAAAAATATTGATTAACAAATGAATACATCATTTTTTTTTTTTTTTTTATTTTTATTTCCCTATTCAGCAAAAATTCATTAGAAATTTTTTTTTGTTTTTTTTTTTTCTCCTAATGATGACAAAAAGAAAATTTTATCCTTGAATATTATTTTACCTTGGCATAAATACTTTATGCGCGTTATAAATTTTTCATTTCTCAAACTGTAATCATTCAATTATGAGGAGAAAGTGTTGGAGTTTTCAAGTGTACCATATACAATCTCAAAATGAAAAAAAAAAATAAAAAAAATATTGCATTTCTCACAAATTTATTCAAATTACTAATTTATATTCTACTACGTATACTACAAGAATTTTGAATGAATTTCTTTTTTTTTTTTGTATATTACACATATAAAAATGCAAAGAAACAAAAAATTAAATATAGTGCGAATTTTTTTTTTTTTTTAATGTAATCGAATAATTATTTATACTTTTATGTTAAAATGAGAATAAAAATTTATAAAAACATATTTTTTTTTATTATTTTGAATCTTTGGTGAGAATGGGGCGTGACTAATTAATCGCATCGTTTTGAAAACTATTACTTTAGGGCGAGACAATGAGCGCGCATCCATTGCCAACTGACGACAAAAAATTGATTTCACGTGTTCTAAAAATAAAAAAAAAAATTATCTTGGGAGAGAATATAAAATTTGTATTTTCTATAACAAAACAAATTTTTTTTATAATTTTATTTTATATTTGTATTTTCTATAACAAAACAAATTTTTTTTATAATTTTAATATTAACAAGCTTAAACTGTAGAAATAGTGGAACACGTAAATAAATGTTTTTGTTGACAGTTGGCAATGGATGCGCGGGCATCGTCTCGTCTTAAAAAACTCGTCTTTTCAAGACGATGTTATTTTATAGCTATTGTGGAAGTAGCCTAAGCTCAATGTAGTTGATTTCCATTGTTCCCACTCGCCATTTGTCATAATTCTCGTCAACTACCGCATCCTGCTCTAGTGAAAATTTAGTAACTTTATAGTAACTTTTAAATTTTAACACTTTTATCCTACTCTAGTGAAAATTTAGTAACTTTATAGTAACTTTTAAATTTTAACACTGAAGTTACTAAATTTTCACTAGAGCAGAATGCGGTAGTTGACGAAAATTATGACAAATGGCGAGTGGGGACAATGGAAACCAACCCTTATAAATTTTAAATTGGTTCCAAAAATGATGCGGCGAAATTTAATAGTCTTGAATTCGAGTTTGATCGAATTTTCAAAGGAACGATTGTGAATTTAGCCTAACTTTCAGTTATTCTAATATGAATGTGGCATAAATGTAAAACGTCTTAATTTGAATTTGTCCTAATTTTTATTTCTTTGTATAAGATTCCCAGCCCTGTCGGTTGTTATGCTAACGTACAAAAGTAAAAGAGACAGTGAATTTGTCTTTTTCTTTTACTCTCGTAGGTTACCATAACAACCGGCAGGGATGGGAAACATACAAAAAATAAAAATTAGAACGATCAGAATTTTACTAATATAGACTCCTTTGTATAGATTTTGTAAATCTAATGACAAATAAAGTATTATTATTATTATTATTAATAAAATATTTTAAATTATTTATAATTAATAAAAATTCGGACAAATGGATTTTTAATAAAATTTCCTCCAACGTTTCGAAATCACACTGATTTTTTTCTTCAAAAAGTCTGACAATAAATAAAATTATAAAAATTAATTAAAAACAACAATTATACAAAGAAACCAAATTAATATTTTTAAAAAATATTTTGGTTATTTTTAAGTTTGAACCACATTATCTTTATTATTTTTATTACTATTGTTATTATTACTATTTTATTATTATTATTATTATTATTATTATTAATTTTATTTTTATTTTTTACTATTATTTTTCATTAATATAATTTTTAATTTAGTGACAAAAAATTTTAAGAAAGAAATAATAAAGTAAAAAAAAAAAAGTGATAATATTAATTAAAAGAAGTTTATAAATTTATAGCCGTAAAAATAGTTAAAAGCATATCTATTAAGTTTTTAACGAAGCATTCACCTGCGTGTATAACTGAACGAACGCGGTTCATTTATTTGAAGCGGTTTCTTTTGATTGTCGATCAGTTATGTCGTGATTGCTTCTTACAATTATTATCAGTTTCTTTTAATACACACTCACTACAAGCATTAACCACAACAAATTGCAATTTTTTTTTTTTTTTCTTTAATATATTTATATTTCTATATAAAACATAACTGATGAATATATATCGACGTATATGAACTTTTTTACCTTTCTAAACATAAATTAAAAATTATTACAAATTAAAATTACCATTAATTATATTTTCAACTGTACAGAGAATTCAATTCTTTTTTTTTTTAAATATAATAAATTTCTATACATAACGCATAATTACTAATATATTAAAAAATAAATTTAATTAATTTTTATTTAATAATAATAATAATAATAATAATAATTGAGTCCCATAGAAAAGGGCGTAAATATGCATTTTTTCCCTTCCTAAACTTGCTTTGTAAAAAAAAAAATAATAATAACAGTTGGGAATTTTAATAATAGTAATAATAAATTGATGTTATCGATCACTCCGAGTCAAAAAGTATAAAATAAATAAAAAAGTTAAAATTTTTTTTTGATTTTTTATGTTTCAACGGCACAACCGTCCTCTTTAGAAAATAAAAAAATATTTTAAAAAATTAAATTATTAAATAGTTAAACCAAAAAATAGACATTGCTATTTGTAAAGTTTCTAATGAAATTTTTATTATTTTAGAAAAACGAGGAAATAAAATTTAAATATGGCTGTATCTGGACAAGAAACAAATATTTTGTATTGTCAAAGAAATAAATTCTATTCTATTCTAAATTATTAAATAATACATAATTTAAAAAAAATAATAAAATTATAAAAAACTTATTACCAGTAAAAAAAATAATAATAGTAGGTAATTGAAGATATATACCTATAAATAATAATAATAATAATAATAATAAAGTAGAAATTATAAATTGTAAAAAAAAGTATTATCTAAAAAATAGAAAAAAAGTGCTTTAAACATTATTTAAATTTTTTCCCCCGTCACTTATTTTTTTTTCTACGTATATATATTATATATTTGAAATGAAACAAGATCCTATCAGGTTATATTGAGTACGCGCGCTCCTTATTTTCTTTTGCGTTTGTTTACTTTTCTCAAAAATTTTTTTTAAATTTTATAACAAAAAGATTTTAAAGAAAGAGTTGACCGATAAAAAGAATATGTCATATTGCTACAACCACTTTCTCGCTATTATAGACGCGCGCTATTTATTTAGGATTCTATTTAACAATGTAAGAGGAGCTAAAGCTTAAAAGAAATTAGAAATAGATATATATCGAAACTTAACTGTAACACCATCTCGTCCTAAGAAACACGAAAACTATTATTTTGAAAAAGGGATAACATCAAAAAAAAAAAAAAAATTTTTAAACTATTTTTTTTTTTTATTTAAGAAAAGAAAAAAAAAATTTTTTTTTTCACTATATTTTGTAATTTTACGATTTTATATTATTAAAGAATACCCGCTTTGAGCAAGTAGCATATCCGATGCACTCGCGTTACTTTAACAACACACTCACAGTTTTAGAGACTGGGAAAAAGGTCTTCACGTATCCCTACTATTCACATTCTCTTATATTACCACCTCCAATTCAATTCTCATCACATTTTCTCAGTCTGTGACCTCGAACCTGATCAAAATTTCAAACGGTCCTAATGTATTCGTCTATTGTAATATATATTTAAAAAAAGAAATTTGATTTCACGAGGTTGCATTTTATATAAAACAATTCCTAACAAGTTGAAGAATTCATTATTTTTATTCTTATTCTTTTTTTTATTATTATTTTTAACTATTATTATTATTATTAGGTATATCTACTTATATTTAAAAAAAGTAATTAAATATCCGATTAAATACTCATGCGAAGGTAAATTCGGACATTTATAATTTCGGTCAAATGAAAATACGGTGATTGAATAAATGATCATGAATTTTTTTTTTTTTGTTGAATCACCTAATCTTTTAATCTATAACCTAATTTTTAATTAATCTAATCCTTATTTCACCTAATTCTTATTTGGTCTAATCACTAATTATTATTGTCCTAATCCCTTATCTGGCCTAAACACATTCCATTTGACATAATTTTTTCTATCTAATAGCCTCTAATTCCTATATACAGGCTAATCTCTATAGTTGACATATAAATTCCTATTTGTCCTAATCTTTATTTAATCCAATTTTTATTTTAATTACTTGTCACTTATTGACCTAATTTTCATTTGTCTAGGAATGGAGATTAAGAATTAGGTCAAAAATGATGATTAGGACAAATGAGAATTGGGTCAAATAATAATTAGGCCAAATAGGAATTAGATTACAAAAAAAAACAAAATTATTTTTAAAATAATGATTCTATTAAATAAAAATTTAGTAAAATTTGAACACTTAAAAAATTCCAAATTCTTTTTTAAAAAGTTACATTTTTAAGAGTTTTAGTTCTTAAATTTAAATTCTATAATATATATATATATATATATATATATATATATGGGTCATTCCATACGAAAAGGCAAATGGCTGCGTCCACTCGCAGTTTGAACCAATCGCAATGTTATAGTAGTCAAATTTTAGCATTTTTTATATAGAATCGAAAGCCGAGTGGCCTTTTTTTTTATTTTCAAAATGGCGGCCACCCCAGTGGCATATGTAAAAAAATTACACGATGGTTTTTTTTTAATCCTTCAATACTTTTAAGATTTTAGTTTAAAACTGCTCAAAACATATTATATTTATGTTCTAGAGCTCGCCAAAGATAAATCCATAGTCAGAATTAAAAAATTCAATATGGCGGATTCAAAATGGCGGATCATTTTTTTAAAATCATCGAAATCGCTTGAAACTCGTTACTCGGGGGTTTTCGGGGTCGCTGATGACGAATCTGTAGTCAGAATTCCAATATTCAAACTATTCGATCCAATATGGCGGATCCAAGATGGCGGAGTTTTTTTAAAATCATCGAAATCGCTTGAAACTCGTTACTCAGGGGTTTTCGGGGTCGCTGATGACGAATCTGTAGTCAGAATTCCAATATTCAAACTATTCGATCCAATATGGCGGGTCCAAGATGGCGGAGTTTTTTTTAAATCATTGAAATCGCTTGAAACTCGTTACTCGGGGGTTTTCGGGGTCGCTGATGACGAATCTGTAGTCAGAGATAAAAAAAACCCTTGTAACAAGTTTTGAGCGATTTCATGATTTTTCAGAAAATTTTTCGTATCCGCCATATTGTGTTTTATATTTTTTTGAATCCACCATTTTGAATTTTGAAAATCTGACAGCAGATTTGAAATCAGCAACCCCAAAAACCCCCGAGTCACAAGTTTCAAGCGATTTCAATGATTTAAAAAAAACTCCGCCATCTTGGACCCGCCATATTGGATCGAATAGTTTGAATATTGGAATTCTGACTACAGATTCATCATCAGCGACCCCGAAAACCCCCGTGTAACGAGTTTCAAGCGATTTCGATGATTTTAAAAAAACTCCGCCATCTTGGATCCGCCATATTGGATCGAATAGTTTGAATATTGGAATTCTGACTACAGATTCGTCATCAGCGACCCCGAAAACCCCCGAGTAACAAGTTTCAAGCGATTTCGATGATTTTAAAAAAACTCCGCCATCTTGGATCCGCCATATTGGATCGAATAGTTTGAATATTGGAATTCTGACTACAGATTCGTCATCAGCGACCCCGAAAACCCCCGAGTAACAAGTTTCAAGCGATTTCGATGATTTTAAAAAAATGATCCGCCATTTTGAATCCGCCATTTTGAATTTTTTAATTCTGACTATGGATTTATCTTTGGCGAGCTCTAGAACATAAATATAATATGTTTTGAGCAGTTTTAAACTAAAATCTTAAAAGTATTGAAGGATTAAAAAAAAACCATCGCGTAATTTTTTTACATATGCCATTGGGGTGGCCGCCATTTTGAAAATAAAAAAAAAGGCCACTCGGCTTTCGATTCTATATAAAAAATGCTAAAATTTGACTACTATAACATTGCGATTGGTTCAAACTGCGAGTGGACGCAGCCATTTGCCTTTTCGTATGGAATGACCCATATATATATATATATATATATATATATATATATATACTAGACAAAGACTGCGCGCGCAAAGCGCGCGCCTTTTTCGTTGGTATTTAGTACTTAGTCAAAAAGAAAGCGAGTTATTAAATTTTTCTAAAAATATATAAAGTTGTTGCATAATTAATTTAAATTTTTGTTAATATCAGCAAAATACTTTGTAACTGCACTTTTATTACACTAAGTACACATAATTGTCAGTCTAACCATTTCTTGACAATCATAGAAAATTTAAAAAAGAGCCCGTGGAGAAGTTTCCCTAAGTTTCCTTATCGAAAACTAAAATTTGGTAAGTTTCTGATATGGAAAAATGCAGAATTCTGGTTAGGTCCTGATGTTTTTGGTGACGCTTGTTTTTCTCAAAAATTAGTTTTAATGGTTAATAGTGAGAAGAATAACAAGAACCCTACGATTGCCCTTTGAGAACTTTCAATTTAACTTTCAATTTAACTTTTATTTAACTTTCAATTTTTGATTAATTATAATTTCAGGTTATATTACTATATTATTCTTTATAAAAAATATAATTAAACTGTAAAAAGAAAATTTGTAGTTTATATAATTCATTAGAAAATATAATGAATTTAAATTATTAAGAATGTGAAAATAATTGTAAATATGAGGCAAAATTCCTGAAATGTCCAAACAAAAAATTAAAAGTTCTCGAATTTAATCCATACTTTTCTAAAATATTATTGAATTTAATAAAATAGTTTTTGAATTACAACGTTTTTAATGTTTGACTTTTGAAAAAAAAATTTTTTTCAATGTACAATATTTATAAGTAGAATGCATAAAGTTAACATATATATAATGATTTTTAAAGCTTTTTTGACGGGCTACACGCTGTTAATAAAATTTTTTTTTTTTTAAATAACATTTGACCTTGAAATTCAAGGTCAAAATGTTAATTTACGTTTATCTCAAAATCCGATTTTTTAAAATTATGTTTAACTATCTCAATGGAAAGCTTGACTAATTTCCTACAAAACATGTAATTTTCAGAGTGGGATCTTTTAAAGTTTTTGAGATATTAATTAATTAATTAATTAATGTTTATAACAAATGAAATATTTTACAAACGAATACAGTTACCGTAATTCTGAAGTTAGCAATTGAAACTTAACGTAATTCCGCATCCAACGAGCCCTGTATGAAGTATTTTGGATAAGTAGATTGTTAATAAACAATTAGTTAACATTGCAATTGTTTATTACCAGTCTACTTATCCAAAATACTTCATATAGGGCTCGTTGGATGCGGAATTACGTTAAGTTTCAATTGGTTAATTTAGATTTACGATAACTTTATTTGTTTGTAAGATATTTCATTTTTTATTGTTATTTAACTAAAATTGAACAAAAATACTTCATATGGGGCGTTTGGATGCTTGTTGTTAGTAAAAAATAAAATATTTTACAAACAAATAAAGTTATGGTAATTCTGAACTTACCAATTGAAAGTTAAGGTAATTCCGCATCCAACGAGCCCTATATGAAGTATTTTGGATAAGTAGATTGTTAATAAACAATTGCAATGTTAACTAATTGTTTATTAACAATCTACTTATCCAAAATACTTCATACATCAGGGCTCGTTGGATGCGGAGTTACGTTAAGTTTTAATTGCTAACTTCAGAATTACGGTAACTTTATTCGTTTGTAAAATATTTTATTTGTTATAAACATTAATTAATTAATTAATTAATATCTCAAAAACTTTAAAAGATCCCACTCTGAAAATTACATGTTTTGTAGGAAATTAGTCAAGCTTTCCATTGAGATAGTTAAAAATAATTTTAAAAAATCCGATTTTGAGATAAACGTAAATTAACATTTTGACCTTGAATTTCAGGGTCAAATGTTATTTAAAAAAAAAAATTTTATTAACAGCGTGTAGCTCGTCAAAAAAGCTTTAAAAATCATTAGGGTCAACCGGGGTAAATCCGAACGGTTTTAGTAAATTTCAACAATAACATAAGTTTTTTCTTTAAAAAAAAAATACTTCCGGTATTCTGGTGCATGAAGTTGTTACTTTACTTCCATAGAACAATTTTATGGGGTAGAAAATTTTTTTGATAAATTACAATCGCAGGAAACTTAGCGTTCGTATTTACCTCGATACTTTGCAACTTTCCTAAAATATGGGGGTAAATACGAACGCCACTGTATTTCAGAAAAATCTTAGGGAAAATAAATTTAAAGTATTGCAATTGTTAAACTTATATAAAAACTCAAAAAAATACGATAATAAACCTATTATGTAATAATGCATCATATATAAATACAAAAATCAAACAGGTTAAAAATTAAAATGCATTACACAATTAAAACCTTCAATAACTTTATCAAATCATAACGGATTTTTGCAAAACTTGGTACAGAAAGTATTTTGGAGTGATTGAATGTAAATACAAAAATAAAAGTGAAATTTTTTA